TGCATTATTTGAGTCAAAATTCATGAAATTCCTATATGCATGGCACATTTACACCTTAATTTGGAGAACCCTTCATGTTTTCATGCTTCACATGTCACTTGATCATATTTTGAACATGTTTTGGAGAAATGTACACTCAAATTGAGTTAAACTTATTTTATAAATTGAGGTTGGAGTCATTGGTTGGGAAATTACCATGATTTTGAATAAATGGGTTCAAATTGGAAGTGTTTTCATGTTATATAGTGATTCTCCATGTTTTTATACCAAAAACACAAGATTTGAAGCTTTGAGTACCATGTTTGAACTTCAAACACAGTTCTGGAAATTCCAGAATTCGTACTGTCTGCTCGAGCGAGGAAGTCCACGCTTGAGCGTGGAATTCAGGCTCCCAAAAGTTTCTGAAATTTTACAGTCCGCTCGAGCGACCATCGAGCGAGAATTTCATGTATCGAGTACTTTTACAGATCGCTCAACCGACAGAAGTTATGCTCAAGCGACCACCTTTGTTTTTGAACCCCCGCTTGAGCGTAGGAAGTTGCGCTCGAGCGGAGACCATGTTTTCAACAAAATTTTACCAACTCTTTTACGTGCATATTTGCATCCTCATGCCACTCCAAGCATTCTTAGGCACCTTTTGGACTCCGATAATCACAGAATAAGTTAGAGACACATAAACAGAATTGAATTAAAATAAAATGGAGATTCATTTGTACTTTGTTATGTACTTCGTTTAAGTGGACGTCCGAGGCTTAGTGTCACCACAAACCACTGTGAGTAATAACCTTATAAAGATATGTTCAAATTATCTTTATTTTCGAAAATGTTATAGCTATCGAAACGGATATGTGATTGATTGAATGAATTCTTAAAATGATTTGATAAGTGATAGCATGGCTTATTGAAATGTTATGTCCTCTAATGAATGAAGTTCTGTTTTGAAATGATATTGTGGCATCTATTGAATATAGGCCCTTGCCTGGGGGTAATAATACCGTGGTTAGGTCCTTGCCTGGGAGTAACAGTACCATGGCTAGGTCCTTGTCTGGGGGTAATAGTACCACGGCTAGGCCCTTGCCTGGGAGTAACAATACCATGGCTAGGCCCTTGCCTGGGGGTAATAGTACCATGGCTAGGCCCTTGCCTGGGAGTAACAATACCATGGCTAGGCCCTTGCCTGGGGGTAATAGTACCATGGCTAGGCCCTTGCCTGGGGGTAATAATACCATGGCTAGGCCCTTGCCTGGGGATAACAATACAATGGCTAGTATGATACGTTATCATTGGAATAATATTTGTTATCACTTCATGGATGTACCACATATAATATTACGAATGGCTTTTGTCACTGCAAAGAGATGCTATTATTGCTAACCAAAATGTTTTGTTGTGAATTTGATCTAATATGGCGAATATCTCCCTTTGAAAATAATTTAAGGTTCATTTCAAAATTGTAAAACATGTTTTTGTACTCTTGTCGAACTTTATTCATTTAACCTCTTTATTCTGTTATTACTCATTGGGCTCTAACTCACTATTTATTTATATATGTAATTGTAGGTGGGCAAACTGAACATCAGAGTTAGATAGCCTCAAGTTTACTCGTGTCAGCCTTTTGTGGAGCTTCCAAGTGAAGTAATTTAGGCTTGGGTAGAGCCATGCTTGTCGAACCCCCTTTTTGTGTGGTTTAATGGTTTTCTATTTGTGCATAGTTGGGGTTATAGTTTGTAAGACATGAATTTGTACTTATGTTGGATATAACTTGAAACAAAACCTTGTTTATTATATTCGATCTCCTCATATATGCACGGCTCAATGGATGAATTCTATGACATTTTTTTGAATTCTGCTAAGCCCCGTACTTTACATTAAAGGTTTATTTGTATGAGGCCGTAGGTAATCTATGATTACTGGCCGGTCATGACGTTAAACCTATAGGGGCGGGTTTGGGTCGTAACAGAAACTTCGACCGGTCAATAGTTCAACCGGCCGAACCAGCCAGTCTAGTCCAGTTTTCAAAACCATGCTTAGGATCGTATAGAGAATGAAGACAAATTGAACAAAAAATGTGTTCTACTTTTTTCTTAATTTTAGTTTCTCTAATTTTGAACTCAATTGAAGAAAAAAAAAAAAATTACAACTTCCCTTCTTGTTCTACTAAATTAGTAAGAATATTTCTGAACCAAAATATAGAATGAATTTTTATATCTTTCATAAATTTGCGTCCTATTTTAATGTTACTTGAATGAGATTAAAAGAGTGGACCTCCAAGGCCAAGACATTAATGTTAATCTTTGTGCCTGGGAATGATCAATGAGGATGGAGTGGACTCCTTCAATTTGCCTTTGTATGCTACCTCTCCCAAAGAGATGACAAAGCTAGTAGAAAGAAATGGGTGTTTCAGCATAGAGAGAATGGAGGTAAGTGATACCAGGCCAAAGAATGATGGACCAACTAATGTGCCAGCAATGCTAATGCACATTAGAGTTGTCTTGGAAGGAATTTTCACCAAACACTTTGGGAGTAAGATCTTCGAAGAACTGTTTGAACGAACTCTTAATAAATTCGCGGAGATTTCCTCCATGTTGTAATCAAGCTGTGTGAAAGGAAACCAAATATTTTTGGTTTTAAAGCGTAAATGATTTGAGTTCATGTCACCTTCGCCTCATCATAATGAGGAGAAATTTACGATGTGCATACTTTAAAAAGGTGCATATTGTAAAAAAGTTATGATTTTTTATGATAAAAGTTATGATTATTTAACATCGTAAATTTTTGTAAAGTTATGATTATTTAACATCGTAAAAGTTATGACATTCTGTAGTAAAGTTATGAATAATGAATTTATGTTGTGTATCCTAAAATTAGGGATGTTAATGTTATGACACTTCGTAATTTTTGTAATGACATTTTATATTGTGTATGAAAGGTTCAAGAACGTTGTTGGAAACTTCGAAGATCTTCGAAGATCCTTGAAAAAAACTCGAATTCTCTAGAAATGATGAGAGGCTTAGATTCTTCAACAGTCACAACTAAGAACACAATAGTAAAGAGATGACGGAGATAAGAGATTGGGTAAAGAAGAAGGCAAAGTAGTTAGAGAGAAAATAATGGCAAGGCTCTCCCATGGATCTCTCACTTTCACTCTCAAGGTAGATAATGGAGAAGGGAAATTAGTTCTTTCCCAAGAGTTGTCTCTCTAAATTCCATCCCTTGTAAAGGTATGGGTAAGTACTATTTATAAGCACCTCATGATGTAGGATGGAGCCCATGTGCAAGGCACATAGGAAATATTCCCTCTAACTACCTTGTCCGAGGAGGTGACCTCTTCGAGGATGAGGAAGACCCCGAAGAGCAGATCAACCTCTCGACGAATCCTTCTTCTTAGCCACACCTAACCAACGATCTCCAATCATCCCAAAGGGTCAGGAGTAGTCTAAGAGGACATCCTGCTGCAGAAGGGTCAGGGGTAGTTCAAGAGAACGCCATGCTACAAATATTGTCGAGTCTCAGGGACCTCCTAGATCATGCCTCCTCGATCCAGGTATAGGCTATTTTAACCGAAGAGTGAATTTATCTCCACTCACTGTCCTCGGGATTGGGTCCTTTGTTCGGACTTCATCACGTCCATGGTTCTGGTGCGTAGATCCCGAAAAGCTCCTAACCCGCAAGTGTTCTAGGACTCATTGATAGAGCGACTTCTAGATTGCGTTCGAATCCTTTCGAAGTCAAGTGCTTCGGATTTCTAGGTTCGTGGATCCGAACCCTTTCGAGTCCGAGCTCAAATAGGTCTCTAGGTTCGTGGTTCCGAACCCTTTCAAGACTAAGCCAATACCTCGGAGAATGGATCTCCTCCGAGGGTTTCATCTCTTCTGAAAGCAACGGCTAATCTCCTCAGACGCCCGTATGGTTTGAGCCTCCTCGGATGGGTTTGTTGGACTCTCCTTAGAGATATATGCTTAATGGGTCTTCCTCGACCCAATTTGTTGGCCTCCTTGTGGGCACTTTTAATAGAATTCACTTGGGCACACTTGGCAATAATTTCTCCAAGCTCACCAATTTTTTTGGATTTTTCGATTGGGCTTCGATTGGACCCAATTAATTTAATAGGTTCAAGTTAACCCCTCTTACATTTTGCCCTTGCATGTATATCAGACATGCACATCCTTTCCTCCTTGGCTATATTTTTGCTTCACCTTCTTGAGCGCGTCTTGCTTGTATGGTCTATGAACAAGGCATCGTAACTTATGAATAAGATTCACGATTAATAAAAGAAATCATTTAATCTTATGCCATGTTTGGCAAACGCACGTCATAATTGTGCCACTTTTTTAATTTTATTTATTTATTTATTTATTTTGAAAGCCAACCGTAATTCTTCAATTACTACAAATACAGATAAAGATCACACTTTTTTTGTGTGATGTATGTTTTTTAATCACACCTTTTAAGTTTTATTAAAGTCTGGTCTTTGGGAGTGTGATTAAAAGGGGTCATTTTTAATCACACTTTTTAAGTGTCATTAAAAAATGCTTTCATCATATCTTTTAAGTGTAATTAATAATATTTAGATCACACCTTTTAAGTGTGATTAAAAACATTTTAATCACACCTTTTAAATGTGATTAAAAACATTTAGATCACACCTTTTAAGTGTGATTAATAACTAATAAAACCTATGATAAAAAAAAAAGAATTCGACATATTTGAAAAATAATCAATATTATATTTGTACGCGCATTTGAAGAATATAATACACACTATATACTATATTTTGAATCACAACCATATATTTCATAAATGAAAGTACGTCATATATTTCATAAATGAAAGTTAAATGTTTAAAAGTATATACAAAGAAATTAATAAAAAGGTTTTAACTGTGATTACATATATTAAAAAAAAAAAACTTGAAAAAACTAAGTTCTTGAATTCTTTGACCATATTTTGCATCTCTCCAAAAAATTTCTGACCTGAAAAATAAAAAAAACAAATTAATTTAGAAATCGTTAGAAGCATATGAAAAAACTTACTATTTTTGTAGAGATTGTTCTTGCCTTACAGAAGACAAAATCGAACATTTTCTCATCACACTGACTCTTCATCCCCTGCATCAATAGAAATAAATAACGAATTTGATTATTACTAGTATAAAATGTTTGTATTACCATATAAAAATTTTCTTAATTTTATTTTTTTAGGGTAAATATTTTATATTTTAAATATTTATTTATTATTTTAATATGCACTATATTTCATACATTTTTGTGCTATATTTTTTTTAAAATATTTTTAAAATATTAAAAAATTTACAAAAATTATTTTTTATTTAACAATATAATTTTTTATAAATATTTTATTTTATTTTATAAATATATTTTTAAATATTTTAATTTTTTTTGTTATGTGTTTGGTTACAATTTGAGTGTGGAGTTTTGAAAATAGTGTGGAGTTTCGAGTTATGTGTTTGGTTATGTGTTTTCAAAAATCATAACAAAACAAATATTCTCTTTTAAAAACTCAACTCACAATTTCACAGTTAAATCATAACTTTACACTCAAATCATAATTTCAAAACTAAACCAAACGGAGCGTTTTTAAAGGGATTTTAATGCTCATGTAGGTTTCCAATGAGAGGTTGAGAAGGATCCTCAGGAATAAAATTTTCATGTATATAATTCTACCAACTATGAATTATCAGTGAATAGGAACAACAAGCTAGTAATTACAGATGTCCCAATACCAAAAAAATAGCAAATTGAAGACTCAAATTTTAAGAGCAACAGTTTGCTAGTTCGCACTAGTTTGAAGCTATATGCATGAAGTCGAACAACATGTGAGAAAAGAACTTTATCATTCCCAAGAAAAAAAAAATTTAAAAAAAGGGAGTCCAAAATGCAATGTACATACAGATTCCGTGACAGAGCAAAATGGGCAAAGATGCAGCACGCCTTGCAGCCTCCTGTGATCCTTCTATCTTGTTCCTCAACGTGGTGCATAAACTTGCCGTTAACTAATAAGCATGGTAATATTTTGAAGAGCACTATAAGGTGCACACATTACATCTTTACTTGCGAAAAAATTTATGAATCAACAATGAGTGAGTCCTACCTGAGATGACACTGTACAAAACTTATTAGCTATTTTGGTCACCTTGGAACTCAATATAATATTAGTTTGAAAACAATTCCAAATATGGCCAGAGGGAGCTATCAAATGAGATATTTTAGAATCATCTCATACAAATCTTATTTTATTTGGTAAATTGGTTATTTTCAACATGGGAAAACAGTACATATAACAGTGGAACAAAGAGGAAATGAGAAGGAAGATATTGCATTCATACCTTGAACTAGGAAGCCAACCACTTAGACCAACAATAGCCCTCAAGTTAACAGGGTAATCGATCCCATTTCCATATTTTCCCTGGGCAAAACAAGTTGCAGAGTAGAGGGCAGTTGCAACACCCATACTAAAACCCCCGATGCCAAGTTTAATTGTAAATGAGTTAATACAAAAATAAATAAATAAATGAAAAAGTATAGAATTCCTAAACAACACGGTGGTAATTTATTCATGATAGTTGATGAAACTTTTTATCACGATAGATAAATGAACAACTAACTAAACACATGGAAATTAAGTAATTTAGTAGCCTATAATCAATGAAGTAACAAGGCAGAAACTTACTATCAGCAGGCTCTATTGACAACAAGTTTGCAATATGCGCTACTGAAGCGTCTAAACCTTCGAAATCATCAGGACTATCTTCTGAAAGTTCTCTAACGTCAAACCCTAATACGAAACCACAAAAGCACTTTAGATAATTGTATCAGTATCTCAGCATTGGAAGAAATCTAAGCTTTAATCTTACATGCAGTGCGAGGGAATCCACCAAGTATAGCCACTGGGCAAGTAAGAGCAGTTGGGCATGTCCACTTGATCTGCATCACAGAATCTCAGCATAAAAAAATGATAAGTACCAACTAAGTTTTGCAAAAATCAAAGAACCATATACACGTGCATGGTCACGAGGCTAAGCATAAAGGTCAAACTCGTTGTTCATTAGGTTGCTAAAATATGCATTTCCTTGATATTCCATCTAAAGCACAATTGTTCATACCACACAAAAAGAAAAGAAAAAAGAAAGTATCAATTCATGGCCTAATTCCAAAAATAATGAATTACAGAATGGTGGACATAATTGGAACAAAGTAATTTAAAATTGGAACAAATCTAATTCATAATGGACATAATTGAACATCTTTGAAAGTAACTTAAAATTGGACATAATTGGACATAATGGACAAATCTGATTCATAATGGAACAAAGTAACTTATAATTGGCCATAATTGGACATCTTTGAAAGTAATTTAAAATTTTCATGATTCACAATTGGAACAAATCTGATTCATAATGCATAGAAAGTAATCTGATCCCATCTAAAATCTTCCTAATGCATGGGAACTAATCTGATTCACAATTCATAGAAAGTAACTTAAAATTTTCCTTGAACTAATCATAGAACTAATCTTCACAATTCATAGAAAGTAATCTGACCAAGAAACTAAGTTAAACAAATGTCATAGAACTAATCTAATTCATAGAAAGTAATTTAGAAAGTAATCTGATTCACAATTCATAGAACTAATCTGACCAAGAAACTAAGTTAAACAAATGTCAAGGACCAAGAAATTAATAAATAACAAAATTAAGTAAATAAAAGTCAAGAACAAAACAACAAATAGTACCAAAGTTTGCACTAACAAATTGAAATATATATATATATATATATATATTTTTCCCTTTTTATCTTCCTAAAAATATGAAATTTATGGCACATATATAAAAGGGATGGTCTCAAACTCTTAGTTCAATGAGGGATTTGGTCTTGAAAAGAGAGGGATTGTTTCATGGTTGGATGGGAGTTTTCAAATCCATGATTCTTGGATGGAATTGTAGGGTCAATTCTTGGCTGGAATTGTGCAATCAGTAACACATAATATAAAACATGTAGAGGACAATTCTTTAAGGCAATTCTTGGTTGGAATTGTGGGGTAATATAATATAAAACAATCAGTAACCCCTACACATCAGTAACAATCAATTCTTGGCTGCAATCAGTAACAATCAGTAACACATAATATAAAACATGTATAGATTCTTGGCTGGAATTGTCGGGTCAATTCTTCGAGGCAATTTATCGAACATGTAGAGGACATTGGAGAAAACCCTCTACATATTGAAAAACCTATCATCAAGCAATCTATAAAAGCAAATACAACAAAATATAAAAGTGAATCACTCAATCTACCAGGCACATTGCATAAACACTGAGTATAAAACCCAAAACCCAATTTTTTATCCAAAAAAGAGTATCAAATGCAGCTTTAAATATACAAAAATAGCATGAAAATACAGACCAACAAACAAAAATCGAAACCTTTGACAATGATGCGCCCTCAGATCTGATAGCTTCAAATAAACCATCAACGGTTTATACCCAGTGACTATCATCAATTTCCCAATGAACAATTTCAGTACACAAACCCAATTTTTGCAAATGGATTGCCCTAAATCATGTATTCCTTTGCAGATAGATGATGGAGAAGAACAGGGAAGTGGAGAAAGAGAAAGAGAAAGAGAAAGAGAGCCATACCTGTGATCATCAATGGACTGGAACAGAGATGGAACAAGCAGCGATGGAGGCCAACACAATGGCGGGAAGAGTGCTTTGCCTAGCAATGGACGCTGGCTACATGTGGAGAGCCAAAACGAAAATTGGCAAAATGCCTCCTCAGTTGCAAAGTGCGTTGGAGCTTCGATATCCAACTTCAATAGGCAAAATGCCTAATTCTCCCCTTTTGGCTCCTGCGTTGGAGATGCTTTGCTGAATAGCAACAGAACTTTTTTTTTTAAAAAAAATATTTTTGGTGATCAGCACTACAACATTTTATTTTGGCGCCTTTTTTTTTTTTTTTTTGAATTATATACATCTACATGGCTGTTTCAATTAAATTTATAAAAATTATTTCTATCCACTCAAAAGATAAAAATTATATTAAAATAATAATTATTGTTTATTTTTTATTTCTTAACCAAATTATTTTTTAATTTTTAAAAAAAAATTCTAAAAATCAAACTATACATAGTTTAAGAATCTTTTGATAAGTTATTTCTAACGTTGGTAACTTATTTAATTATTTGTTAATTTTACGATATTTTTACCATCAAGCCTGTTTGGTAACCATTTCGTTTTTAGTTTTCAATTTATATTTATAAAAATTTTAAAAACTGTAATAAAAACTTGTTTGATAATTTTTTTTAGTTTATAAATGGTTTTCTTAGTTTGTAAATTTGAGGAAAAAACGTAAATTCAAAAAATGAACTTACGTTGGTTTTTAAACAGAAATTTAAAACCTTTTCTAACAAATTTTTTTTTTCAATTAATCTTTTTTTTCAAATAATTTTTTTTCCAATTAATTCTTTTTTTAATGAATTTTTTTTCCAACTAATACTAACCAAAGGGGCATTTGGTAATGCTACTTTAAACCTTAGGGAGGGGATTGTAATTTCTAAAATGGGAGGAGTGTCAATGTAATTTACCCAATGATGGCAAAATTGGTATTTAAAAAAATTAAATTGCTGAAGGGGGAATCTGTAATGAAACTTTAAATCTCAGGGGAGGAGATGTAATTTCCAAAAGGTGAGGGGGGAACTGTAATAAACATAAACCTCAGGGGGTGTCAGTGTGATTTACCCAAAAAAAATTAATTGGAAAAAAAATTATTTGAAAAAAAAATTTGCTAGTAAAATTTTTAAATTTCTGTTTAAAAACCAACGTAAACATATTTTTTGAACTTGCATTTTTTCCTCAAATTTACAAACTGAGACAACCATTTATAAACCAAAAAAATTATCAAACAAGTTTTTATGACATTTTTTTAAATTTTTGTAAATATAAATTGAAAACTGAAAATGAAATAGTTAGCAAATAGACTTTAAATGGTAAAAATGTTGTAAAATTAATAAATAATTAAATAAGTTACCAACGTAACAAAATGGATTATCAAAAGATTCTTAGGCCATATATGGTTGGATTTTTAGAATTTTTTTTTAAAAATTAAAAATTAATTTGGTTAAGAAATAAAAAATAAAAAATAATTATCATTTAAGGGTAAAAAATAATTATCATTTTAACTTTTGAACATGTTTTATACATACGTATGATTGTTTCAATTTAATTTGTAAAAAATTATTTCTAACCACTCGAAAGATAAAAAATATATAAAAGTGATAATTATTTTTTATTTTTTATTTCTTAACCAAATTAATTTTTAATCATTAAATTTTTTTTCTAAAAATCAAACCATACATAGCCTAAGAATCTTTTGATAAGTCATTTCTTATGTTGGTAACTTATTTAATTATTTGTTAATTTTACGACATTTTTACCATCGTTTTCAGTTTTCAATTTATATTTATAAAAATTTTAAAAACTGTCATGAAAACTTGTTCGATAATTTTTTTGATTTATAAATGGTTGTCTCAGTTTGTAAATTTGTGGAAAAAACGTGAATTCAAAACATGAGTATATGTTGGTTTTTAAACAGAAATTTAAAAATTTTACTAACAAAATTTTTTTTCAATTAATTTTTTTTCAAATAATTTTTTTTCAATGGATTTTTTTTCCAACTGATACTAACCAAGGGGGCAATTGGTAATGTTACTTTAAACCTTAGGGAGGGGATTGTAATTTTTAAAATATGAGGGGTGTCAATGTAATTTACCCATTGAGGGAAGTGGAAAAAACGTAAATTCAAAACATGAGTATATGTTGGTTTTTAAACAGAAATTTAAAAATTTTACTAACAAAATTTTTTTTCAATTAATTTTTTTTCAAATAATTTTTTTTCAATGGATTTTTTTTCCAACTGATACTAACCAAGGGGGCAATTGATAATGCTACTTTAAACCTTAGGGAGGGGATTGTAATTTTTAAAATATGAGGGGTGTCAATGTAATTTACCCAGTGAGGGAAAAATTAGTATTTAAAAAAATTAAATTGCTAAAGGGTGAAATCTGTAATGAAACTTTAAACTTTAGAAGGGAGATGTAATTTCTAAAAGGTGAGGGGGGAATTGTAATAAATATAAACCGCAGGGGGTGTTAGTGTAATTTACCCAAAAAAATTAATTGGAAAAAAAATTATTTGAAAAAAAAAATTATTTGAAAAAAAATTTTGCTAGTAAATTTTTTTAATTTCTATTTAAAAAACAACGTAAACTTATTTTTTGAATTTACATTTTTTCTCAAATTTACAAACTAAGGGAATCATTTATAAACCAAAAAAATTATCAAACAAGTTTTTATGACAGTTTTTTAAATTTTTGTAAATATAAATTGAAAACTGAAAATGAAATGGTTAGCAAACAGGTTTTAGATGGTAAAAATATTGTAAAATTAACAAATAATTAAATAAGTTACCAACGTAAGAAATGGCTTATCAAAATATTCTTAGGCCATATATGGTTTGATTTTTAGAATTTTTTTTAAAAAATTAAAAATTAATTTGCTTAAGAAATAAAAAATGAAAAAATAATTATCATTTATGGGTAAAAAATAATTATCATTTTAACTTTTGGACAGGTTATATACATACGTATGGCTGTTTCAAAATTTGTAAAAAATTATTTCTAACCACTCGAAAGATAAAAATTATATAAAAGTGATAATTATTTTTTATTTTTTATTTCTTAACCAAATTAATTTTTAATTTTTAAATTTTTTTTCTAAAAATCAAACCATACATAGCCTAAGAATTTTTTGATAAGTCATTTCTTATATTGGTAACTTATTTAATTATTTGTTAATTTTACGATATTTTTACCATCTGAAGCCTGTTTGGTAAACAT